AATTAAGCCTGTGGCATACTTATGCAAATTTCATGCCAAAAAGCTAGTTGTGTGCCAAAAAAAGATATATCTTGGAAATTGAAGGGTAACTCGACCTAATCCAAATAAGGTAGTTAGTTATGTGGTGATTTGGTCTTGTAACCTCCCCTGGTATGACTTGGGAGTGGCTCTGGGCAGCAGTCTTCTCTTACATCCAGGGTATCCATTGGAATGTCAGAAGAGCCTTGGTGAAACAAGTCAAGGTTGGTTGCAATGTTTGCTGGTAGCTTTTAAAATTTCTGGAGCATTTATAAAATGTTGATAATTGTGCTCTATTTTAATATTTATTGAAAACTTAAAATATTATCATGCTTTTTTTTTTTAAATTAATACCTCCTTTAAAACCTCCCTTTAGCGGACACCTCTTTACAAAAGACAGTTTTCATTTGCAAAAATACCTTTTATACAACATAGCAACTCTCCCGTAAGAGGACACCTCTCCCTAAAGGACAGTTTGTCTCTGAAATTAGGTGTCCTTTTTTTTTTTTTTTTTTTTACAGGGAGGTTCTACTGTACCTACATCAATGGAAAAAAATAATGCAGTAAAGATTTGGAATATAAAAGGTGCAGAACAAAATGTAACAATTCCCTTATACCAAGTAAGATTATTGATCAAATATGAGACCAATCAGTAGTATAGCATTGTCCTTATATGCCATTAAATTTTATCTACTATCTGTTTCTTTCATTTACTATTCTTTATCCCATCAATTTTCATCTATTTCATCAATTTTCTTCTATTCCCCATCTATTTCATCAATTTTCTTCTATTCCCCATCTATTTCATCAAATTTCTTCTATTCCCCATCTATTTCATCAATTTTCTTCTATTCCCTCATCTATTTCATCAATTTTCTTCTATTCCCCATCTATTTCATCAATTTTCTCCTATTCCCCCATCTATTTCATCAATTTTCTTCTATTCTCCATCTATTTCATCAAATTTCTTCTATCTATCTATACATTCCATTGATTTCCATCTACTATTCATCTATTTCTGTCTAGCATCTGTTTTTCTTACATCTATTCTATATATTTCTATTACACTCATCTCTATATTACATCAATTTCCATCTCCTCACCAAATTGCACCCTTCTTTCTCATCTATGGTTTAATCTCTGTGTGAAGGTATCCTCCCTGCTGGCTATACTGAATGATGACATACAGGTGTTATGTCAAAGTTTGGTGCAGGCTCACAAATTGATTGACACAACACACGTGTAGCGGTACAAAAAAAAAAGGAAAGTTAACACACAGCTCTTATTAAAATATAGCATGGTCATTAGAACATTGAATTGTTTTAGCTGTGCTATTTTTTTTTTAGAGCCCCTGCTGAATGGGCTACTGGAATTCACATATTGACCTAGTTGGTACATCTTGGTACTATTCAAGTTTGAATATCGGAAGGGATCTAGATTGGTACTAAAGGACACATACAATTTGGATGCTAAGCATGGATTGGAATATAGCATTAAAGTGGTGTCATATTTCCTATTTTATAATGTTAAAAAATAAATGAAAAAATATGTAAGAGGTATGTTACCTTTACAAGAAAAACACAATTTGGATTATAGCTACAAGAAAATAAGACCTAATCCAAATAAATTAATAGTGTGTGACGTTTCAGTAACAGTGTTGTTACCGAAACATCATACACTATTAATTTATTTGGATTAGGTCTTATTTTCTTGTAACTATAATCTATAATCCAAATTGTGCTTTATCAGGTATGTTACATGATGTGTGAGATACAGTATGTACTGAGGGTGATTGCAAATATCTATTTTGACAAAGGAAAAGATCAGTATCAAGAGATGAAAGGGTAGACAGTACCATATGTGTGTAACTCTTGATTGAGGTAAATCAAGAAATTTCAGAGGTCTCTGACTACACACACATTATCTTGTCTCTTGGCCATTTATTACTTGCAGTGGTTCAAGAGGTAGTTGCTGTGGAATTCCTGAAATTTGTTTTCTAGGTTTTCCTTTCTTTCATATAGAGTTAAACCTGTCTATAGCGCCCCCTTTAAATAACGCCTTCCTCTCTATAGCGCCAGATTTTAAATACGTAGTACGATGTGATTTACATTTAAAAGTGACCTGTATATAGCATCCCCTCTCTATAACACTCTATTTTGGTGAGTCCCAAGAGGGGGCGCTATACAGGTTTAACTGTACTATTCCAGATTGTAGGAGTGCTGGAAATGTGGAGAAAGTCCCAGCCACACATTTAACCTTATTTGTTCTGACTGGGGTTGAGGGGTTTTGTGAAGCTTAATTTCTGCTCTGATCAGTCTCAAGAGGTATTTGGCAGAATGATAATAAAAGAAAATAAGACCTAATCCAAATAATTTATTAGTGTGTGACGTTTCGGCAACAACATTGTCACCATCATCAGACAAAAGAATAAAATCTGTTGTTGCCGAAATGTCACACACTAATAAATTATTTGGATTAGGTCTTATTATCTTGTATTATAATCTATAATCCAAATTGTGCTTTATCATTGGCAGAATGATGTTATTCAGAGACTATTCAGGAGAGTAATTAAGACATCTCTCTCTCTCTCTTGATCATGAAAATTTCAGGTTGCACAGGAGATCACAGTTGATCAGGAGATACCTTTTCCACCTGATCCAAGTACAATTTCACTTTTGTACTATTTTTGTCACATATTTAGGAGATGTTCTGTATTTTCTTGGCAGATTTAATCCATGGGCCTGTTTGATGAAAATCTATTATAACTTTATATAACTTGATATTTTTTATAGAATGCAGTAAGGAGTTATATTCCTCTGTTAGTTCATTTAGTGGTGACAAGAGAGGGCTTGAATTTTATCTTTGCACTATAAACACAAGGTAATAAGACCAAATCCAAATAAATAAATAGTGTGTGACGTTTCAGTAACAGCTTTGTTACCATCTTCAGACAAAAGTATTGAATGATTTGGATTAGGTCTTATTACCTTGTGTTTATAATTTATAATCCAAATTGTGCCTTATTTATCTTTGCACTAGTTTCTGTGTGTATTTTAAATTTGGATAGTTGTTCTATTGCTTGGTTTTCATAATTTGATGCTACACACTTTTCACTAAGATGCTGAGCTGTGAGAAAAAAAAAAGCCTGACTCATCAATCTCAAACCCTTCCTTGGATTTCAACAATGGAATTGCCTCATCAGAGTTAATGGAGGATTGTAAATATTTGTGGCAGAGTTGTGAAAGGGTGACCAAAGAGCTATTTGGATTATTTGCTTTTTGAGTGAACACACCCAAATCCTGTGATTGTTTTGCTTCAAACCTAAACTTCTTCCTCACACCCAATGCTTTACAACCTTTTGACAAGGTAATGTTAAGGTACAATTTGGATTATAGAAACACAAGGTAATAAGACCAAATCTAAATAAATAGTAAGTGCCGTTTTGGTAATAACGCTGTTAAAGAAATATCACACACTATTTTTTTTTTATTTGGATATGGTCTTATTTACCTTGTGTTCACTTCTTTGGTAATGTTTTCATTTGAAATAAAGTAGTGGTGGTGCTTATCTCCATGGTTAAACCAATTCTTGAAGTTCACTCTTGTCAGTGATATCACTATGATGTTAGTTATCCTCTTGCTCCCCCATTGCCTGAATTAACTCTCCATGTCATTCTCTCTGTCTCTCCAGCCTTGGTTCTTCCAGAATCTACGCAGGATTTATCACACATGTAGTCTGACATCTCACACACCTTTTTTCTTAATTAACAACAAAAAAGTATAGGGCTCCTCTCCCGTCAAATTAAACGTTAAAACTAGACCCCATCTATTGACCATTTCCGCAAACTAGTGACCTCGGGTCGGTGACAAAGCCACAACCCCAGTTTTGGCAAACTGAAAAGCGTCCACCTGGGGACCATGGTTTCGGGCTAATGGCCCTCGTCAGTCTAGAGCGGACTTTATTTCATGAGATCCATGCAGGATCCAATGAAATCTTCACAATCTGCCCGAAACCATGGTCTCAATGTGGACGCTTTTTAGTTTGCCAAAGCTGGTGTTGTGGCTTTGTCACCGACCTGAGGTCACTAGTTTGCAGCGACGGTCAATAGATGGCGTCTAGTTTTGACGTTTAATTTGACCGGAGAGGAGCATTATGCTTTTTTTAGATCAATTTCCTCCTGTCATATTTTCCATCTATAACAACAAAAAGTAATGGATTTTTCTCATAATGTAAGTTGATAATCTAAAAGGCAACAAGACTAAATTCAAATAAATAAAATGATTGTGACATTTCAGTAACAGCATTGTTAACATAATCAGGCAAAGAGTACTTAAATAAAGTAAAAAAATAATTTGAATTTGGTCTTGTTACCTTTTGATTCCAAACTATAATCCAAATTGATACAAGAAAATAAGACCTAATCCAAATAATTTAATAGTGTGCGACGTTTTGTTAACATCATTGTTACCGAAACGTCACACTTCATCAAGTTTAGTCAAAGTTTTTCCCCCCACTTTTTGATATCTCAATCACATGGACCAGCAATTACCCACAGTATAATGGGATAAGTGTGATGCCCTCCTTGCATAAAGTACAGTCTTAATTCAGCCATAGGTTTTCCTGGTGACCTTGTTCAGGCAAACTTCCTTCATTATCTCCAAGTTGTTGATATAGTTAATGGCTAGGTGGGAACAGCACTAGATCTCCAGCCTTAAACCTCCCTATAAAAAATACCTCACTCGGGGAAACAAGATTTTATATTGCTATAAGCTGTTATAAACACTGTTAAAATATAATACAATATAACATAATGCGGCTTGTGATTGTAAAACGACATTTGAAAACTATCCCACATGAGTTTCTTTTCAACGAAAACTCAAAATTTATTCCAAGGAGAAACAACGATTATTTCTAACCTTTGGGATGAGGTATGAAAGGATGAATTGTGAAGAGTAATGAATGATAAACGGAAAAATAAAAGTATCCAGGGATGGGAATCGAACCCACAGTGTTCCGCTTACCTGGCAGATGTCATGTCCACTACTAGCCTACCCTGGGACCTATCCTTTCATACCTCATCCCAAAGGTTAGAAATAAACGTTGTTTCTCCTTGTAATAATTTTGATTTTTCGTTGAAAAGAAACTCATGCGGGATAGTTTTCAAATGTCGTTTTACAACTGTTAAAATAATTTATCACTGGGAACCTTAGAATTATGATGTATTATAACCACATATTGCTTATCTAAAAGAGGCTGTTGTAATGAGATTACACTGTAATAATAAAAAACACTCAAAGTCAATTTTAAGTGGAATTAAAACTAGGTTTTTTTTTTACTTATCTCTAGTACACATTGTACAGGCCATGATAATGGGTAGAAGTAGACGACTGCTTTTACTGTAAGTGCACCACATGTCTACACATGTTTGCACTTATAAATGTGCCAGAGCCCCGTTTAGTTACTTGCACTCGCTGGTGGGGTTGGATTATTGCAAGAATCGGGGGCCATTGGAGCATTTTTTTTTTTTTTTAAATCAGAAAAAAAAAATCACAATGTGGGTATCGAACCCGGGTCGTAGCGGTCGAAAACCAACAGTTTAGACCATCCTTCCACCGACCCCCAAAAGGTAATAACACCAAATAAATAAATGAATTTGGTCTTTTTATCTTTTAGTTTTAACCTATATTGTGCCTTATCTAGTGGAAATAAGTTGACTCTTTTTGAATAAGAAGTTACACTGATAGACAAAACTTAAAGAAGTTGTACCTTATAGCATATATATATCGGGATTCAGAAAATAACTCTGAGAGATATATATATGCTATAAGGTACAACTTCCTTAAGTTTTGTCTATCAGTGTTATCAGTCGAACCTCATTAAGACAATATCACTTGGTACCAAGATTTTTTTGTTGTTATAATCATTATAAATGATATGATGAGTTAGCTGCAAGTTTTTCTTTTTAAAATCATTTTTTTTTGGCTTATCCCTAGTACACGTGGTACAGGCCACATTAATCATGGTGAGTAGAAGTAGGCGATTGCTTTCACTGTATGTGCACCACATGTCTACACAAGTGGAAAAAAAAAGTTCGACTTTTACACTTACAAATGTGCCAGAGCCCCGCCGTTTGGTTACTTGTACTCACTGGTGAGGTTGGACTTTTGCAAAAATCAAGGTCCATTTGAGCATTTAAAAAAAAAAAATCATATATACTTTATAAGATATAGCCAGTTACATATGATTTCATATAAATAAACTTAACAATTACCTTGTTGTTTTAATCTATTTTAAGCAATTTTATACTTTTGAATTGTTATAACTCATTGTTGTTATAATCGATGGATGGGTAGTTAGTGACTATATGCTCGAGGAACTTGGGTTAATAATATATATAACCGCAGTTGAATTACACATAATTTTAGGACTTAAAAAACTTGGGAATTATGTGGATATAACCAATTTGGTGTTAGAATGAGGTTACACTATATACACTTGATACTAAAAGGTATAAATTGGTTTATAATAAAACTTTTAGACGGATTGACTATCTCCTTCAGGGATTTGTTTACTTTTGAAATTTTTCTTTTTCTTTAATTGTGCATTCATTTGATCTCGAGCAACTTCCAACTTTTTGTGTGAATGAAAATTTAGATTATCCTTTATAATAGGTTGTTTGGATTTGACTGTAGTAATGTTTGAGGTATGTCAATTTTTTCCCTGAAGGATATTTTTTCACTTTATTTAATTATCTCACCAAATGTTCCCAAAAATTGTATGAGAAATATGTATGCTACTCTCTGGTAAACAAGTGTGTGTTGTTGTGTGGTTCAGAATATGCGGGAGTTCAAGGTGGTCATCTTGGGCAGTGGAGGTGTGGGCAAGAGTGCCCTGACAGTGCAGTTTGTATCGGGGACCTTCATAGAGAAGTATGATCCCACCATCGAGGACTTCTACAGGAAGGAGATTGAGGTGGACTCCCTGCCATGTGTGCTGGAGATCCTAGACACAGCGGGCACGGAGCAGTTTGCCTCCATGCGGGACTTATACATCAAGAACGGCCAGGGCTTCGTGGTGGTGTACAGCCTGACAAGCCACCAAACCTTCGAGGACATCAAGGGGATGCGGGACCAGATTGCCCGGGTGAAGAACACGGAGCGGGTGCCCCTTGTGCTGGTGGCCAACAAGCTGGATCTGGCAGGGGGCCAGAGAGAAGTCAGCCCCTCTGAGGGGGCCGGCTTGGCACAGCTCTGGGGCTGCCCCTTCCTAGAAGCCTCTGCCAAGGATAAAGCCAATGTTAACCAAGTCTTCACCGAGATTGTCCAAGAGATGAACTACCGGCCCTCCAAGAAGAAGAGAAAGTTTCGGTGTTGCGCGGTCTTATGATCATCCCTTCATGGTAAGTGGCCCCCTCTTCACCCCCCATTTAGATATTGTTGACATTTTTGTATTTCACTTTAAACTTGTATACCTACCACACATATAAATATCCTATAGATATATACAGAGTAAAAACTAATTAAAACGAATCAAGGATATCTTCCCTTATAACAAAGCTAAAACAATATCAATATTAGTTTTTTTTTTTGCTTATCCCTAGTACATGTGGTACAGGCCATGATAATCATGGTGGGTAGTTAGCGGCTGCTTTTACTGTAAGCGCACCACATGTCTACACATGTGAAAAGCAGTTCGACTTTGCACTTACAAATGCCAGAGCCCCGTTTGGTTACTTGCACTCGCTGGTGGGTTGGACTTTTGCAAGAATCGGGGCCCATTGGAGCATTTTTTTTTTTTTAACAGAAAAAAGTGTCCAATGCGGGAATCGAACCCGGGTCCTAGTGGTCTAAAACCAAACGGTTTAACCAGCCTTCCACCGACCCCCTTTCAATATTAGTGATACAGTAGAACCTCTATTAGTGACACTCAAGCTAGTAGACCCCTCTAGACAACTGACAGTTACATCAGCAAAATAGCTCTCCCGTTGAAAATTCTTTCTTGCTAGCGAACACCTCCAAACAACGGACACATTCCCAATGCATTATTTATTGACCTGAAATACCATGATATTAATGATCAATTTAAAGTTATTCAAATATATAAAAATGGGAAGTTTTTGTCATACAGCAAACAAAATGTCACTCATGTAAATTTCAAACATTCTAAAAGATTTGAAAAAAATATTGAGTTTTAATATTCCGAAAATACCAAAACACAGTACAAAGAGGCACAACTTTTAATGGAAAATGGTCAATTGAATGAATTAATATGAGATTTTATTTATTAGAAAGAGATTTTACACTGTAAATATAAAAGGGTCCTAAGAAAATTAAATTTATGGAAAACAAATAGTTCACACTGAAATTCAACTTCTAAGACAGGAAACCTCCCAAGACAGGTAACAGATTTGACTGTATTGAAGAATCACTCTCGGGGTTAAAATTGAGTTTTAATTTTCTTCTTTTTTTCAGAAAACCTGGGTCTATCATAGAAGTACAACCATTGAGCAACATCGTCCTTATCTTCATTGATTTAGTGTTGTGGGCATTTTGTGTTGCCACATAGTTCTTCTTTCAAAGAAAAACTAACTATTTAGCCAGCAATACATTAGAACTACTTCCCTGTAAAGGACACCTAATTACAAAGTGTCCTTTAGGGAGAGGTATCCTCTTACTGGAGAGTTGCTAAATAGTAAAAATGATAAAATTGAAAATGTAAAATGTCCTTTATAGAGAGGTGTCCTCTAGCGCGAGTGTCCTCTCATAGAGGTTCTACTGTATATTAAAAATGCTTTTTCAAGCTCTAGTCTAGGTCTTTCCACTATCCCATGCTGAAGCTTCAAGGTAAATGGCCACAAGAATAGGGTGCTCTTTCCAAAGGGCTTTTCAAACCTTATATTTCACCTTGATGTACTTCAACAAAAGGTGGGCTCAGTAAAATAAATTTAAGGGCAAGAAAACCTCTTTTAACCTAGTGAATCTACTCCTAGTAAATCAGCATCTGTCTGAACTTAAATACAAGGTAATAATACCAAATCTAAACTCTGTACTTTTTTTGTGTGATGATGATACTCCATTGTTGAAATGTCGCATACTATTTATTTATTTAGATTTGGTCTTAATTGGCTTGTGTTTCTAATCTAAAATCCAACTTGTACTTTATCACTTGCCTGAATTCAGTTTTGTAAGCTCAGCTTTTTACTCGAAGCAACATTCAGGTGTATATGATCATGTTAAATCTCTCAAAGATTTACTCTGGGGTTTTAGTTTAGGTTTCAGCTCGAGGAGCATGAACTCATGGAATTCGTATAATCTTTATACAAGGGGATAGCAAACAACAACAGTTTAGATTTCTCCAATAGCCGTAAGAGTTGGAGAGAGGGGCTAATGTTGACAGGTAAAGAAAGCTCAAGTGTGGTGCCACAGTTATACCGGCACCCTCCTCCTATCAGGTTGATATTTCAGGGAAGGAGGAGATTAAGCCCAGTTTGCTCTGTCAAGATCATTATCTTATCGCCATTGTCCTAATCTTGATCATCATCTTATCTGGAGGGATACCCTTTCTCTGTGTGGGATGTCTGTCTGCCCTGTACCCCTCCATTCAACCCACTACAGTTTAATGTTTACTAGAACTTGGATTTAAATCCCCCACCAAAGTAACTGGATATTTAACTCAATGGGAATCTCTTGGGGGGGGCTTAGAGTTAATGTGGTTTGACTGAATGGGAAAGTTGTAGGTAAAATTTGTCAGTCAGGTTAAACCTGTCTATAGCGCCCCCCCTCTAAATAGAGCCTTCCTCTCTATAGCGCCCGATTTTAAACATTAAAATGTAAACATTTTACATTAAAAGTGACCTGTCTATAGCACCCCCTCTCTATAGCACCCTATTTTGGTGAGTCCCAAGAGGGGGCGTTATGGAGAGGTTTAACTGTATATACAGTAGAAAACCTCCCTCTGTAAAGGACAACATCTAGTTGCAGAGCCAATGTGTCCCTTCTTTTACAGAGAGGTGCTCTCTCACTGGAGAAGTGCTCTTTTTTTAAAATAACTAATTAAACA